TTACTGAGCAATAGGATTGGGGTTCTGGAAAAGAGTTCAACGTCCTTGAGTTACACAGTGTCAGTTACAGTGTCCAGCGAGCAGTTCTCTAAGCAATTCACAGATAGCTAAAGTTCTAATCAAAGTCTATAAGCGTCTCTTCTCTTGTCGCGTTAGTCCGGGTCGTTCTTTATCATCATCTTCTTGTCTTTAATGTCGCTCAATTCTTAATTATACTGTCCTATCCGGTACTCATCCTTCATAAGGGGTTCAGAGGTCTTCATCTCTTCAGCGTCGTTCATCGGTGCCATACTGTTAACGGTGTTAGTCGTCAAGCGCGGTTTCGTCTCTGCCATGGAGCCAGTTAGTTCGGTTCACAAGAAAGACACATCTTCGTCATTTCACTTTTCTTCACAGGATGTCAATGTGTGTTAAACACCTGCCCGGGATCTCCACTCACGTATCACGGGGTAAATCTCTTTCTCTCGGGGATCTCCACACTTGTCAGGGGGGAATCTCGTCTCGTCTCTATATCGTCCCCTTGAGGTACGGGATCGGGAAAGTCACTTTAACTTTACAATCAAATAAGGCACACACAACGAAATACGTTTCAGCTCTCGTCTTAGTCGATCTTTTGGAGCACTCTATAAGACATAGTGCTCTGGGGAAAAGTCCCCAAGACTCTCACAAGGCTGAACCAAGACTCGCCCAAGACTGGACTGCCTCAAGGCTCGCCCCTGGACTGGACTCGACTGCCCAGGACTGCCTTCTCTCTCTACTGCGTCTATCGTAGAGTATTCGCCAAGACCAACTCAAACTCTCTTTATTCATTTTCAAAACTCTAACCAATTACAAAACAGTAAAAAGACTCTAGGGCGTAACCTTCAATCATAAAGCCAATCACACTAAGTACTGAATACGTCATATCTTTTGATTAATCGTTCACTACATTAATAACTGTGGAATACCAACTGTCAGAATCGCGACGGATATCTCGTAATTAGTTCCAAATCACTGAGCCAAGTTCCGTCCAAAACTTCAAATAGACCTGAACGATGACAGACATAACACAGCAATTCGCTAATAATCAACTAATTAAGTCGGTCAACAGATACGCGAAAACAAATTCATGACACATCCCTTCACCCAAACTGAGATATGCCTCTCGGCATAATACGTTCATAAATCAAAGATACCGTCAGCCACTCATCGTCATACGGGTTAAATACAATACTAATAATAAAAGGTATAAATCAATAAGAGTAAAACACACTAATTAAGTACAATGATTATAAAGTCTAAATACAATGGTTATAAAGTCACAAACATCAACGGTTATAAATCAAAAACAAGGGAAAGGCTACCAATCGACTCACTTTTCTCAAAACGGTTCGCTGAGGTAACCCGTCGCTTCACTTTCTCCGTTACAAAGGTTACAAACTCTATATCAAAAGGTCAAAAAACTAAGGCGTGGCGGTGTAACCATGCGATCAGCCAATCGCTGCAGTCGACAGCGTGATCACGTGATTACCAGGGATGCGTCTCTGGTTAAAGCATTGCAAAGCGGTAACTAATAAACAATGAATAAAAAGCTATTAATCAAACTCCTGTCATATACGCTTATAAACTTCAACTGAACTCACAATTCGTCAATCTAGACACAAGTCATACGGCGTGGAAACAGAATGCAAAGACAAATTCGCTTTCATAACACATAACTCCTCTGGCAAAAAGACGGAAAAGGCAAAACGATAGAAACTACTAAGTTACATATAATCCTGTCAATCATGAACAAAAGCTTGCGTTATCAAACAATACATATATAAGCGCACCAAACTCATCCCAAAAAGACATTAAAAAACGTTACAAAGTGCTCTCAACTCAAAAAGCGTCAGAAGTATTCCGGAAACAACACATAAACAAAAACAACTCTTAAAACGTCGGTATCACTGTACTCGACAAATCTCAAAACTCTGAAAAACTCGTGGGGGCATCATTCCTCCCATCATAATCCGTACTCATAAACTCATTAAAACACCATAAAAACTTCACAACTCATAACACAGTGTTGCAAATACTTGTCCACTGAGGCGCGCTTAAATCGTTATAAAGGACCTCGCACGTCACTAAATATCAGTTCAAAACAAAGATCTGGGCGCTTACCTAACATACAATTCAACATCACAAAAAAAAACGGTAAAAACAATAGGAAAAGCAAGCAATACATTACATTACTGAACAATAGGGTTAGGGTTGTGGAAAAGAGTTCAACGTCCTGAGTTACACAGTGTCAGTTACAGTGTCCAGCGAGCAGTTCTCTAAGCAATTCACAGATAGCTAAAGTTCTAATCAAAGTCTATAAGCGTCTCTTCTCTTGTCGCGTTAGTCCGGGTCGTTCTTTATCATCATCTTCTTGTCTTTAATGTCGCTCAATTCTTAATTATACTGTCCTATCCGGTACTCATCCTTCATAAGGGGTTCAGAGGTCTTCATCTCTTCAGCGTCGTTCATCGGTGCCATACTGTTAACGGTGTTAGTCGTCAAGCGCGGTTTCGTCTCTGCCATGGAGCCAGTTAGTTCGGTTCACAAGAAAGACACATCTTCGTCATTTCACTTTTCTTCACAGGATGTCAATGTGTGTTAAACACCTGCCCGGGATCTCCACTCACGTATCACGGGGTAAATCTCTTTCTCTCGGGGATCTCCACACTTGTCAGGGGGGAATCTCGTCTCGTCTCTATATCGTCCCCTTGAGGTACGGGATCGGGAAAGTCACTTTAACTTTACAATCAAATAAGGCACACACAACGAAATACGTTTCAGCTCTCGTCTTAGTCGATCTTTTGGAGCACTCTATAAGACATAGTGCTCTGGGGAAAAGTCCCCAAGACTCTCACAAGGCTGAACCAAGACTCACCCAAGACTGGACTGCCTCAAGGCTCGCCCCTGGACTGGACTCGACTGCCCAGGACTGCTTTCTCTCTCTACTGCGTCTATCGTAGAGTATTCGCCAAGACCAACTCAAACTCTCTTTATTCATTTTCAAAACTCTAACCAATTACAAAACAGTAAAAAGACTCTAGGGCGTAACCTTCAATCATAAAGCCAATCACACTAAGTACTGAATACGTCATATCTTTTGATTAATCGTTCACTACATTAATAACTGTGGAATACCAACTGTCAGAATCGCGACGGATGTCTCGTAATTAGTTCCAAATCACTGAGCCAAGTTCCGTCCAAAACTTCAAATAGACCTGAACGATGACAGACATAACACAGCAATTCGCTAATAATCAACTAATTAAGTCGGTCAACAGATACGCGAAAACAAATTCATGACACTACATTAAATGTGAATGCAGACTCTTATATTCCAAATGATTCCTGTACATAACCAATACGATATACTAGAAGACAATGAAGGAGATGGGAAACAATCAACTTTAGAATGTAACAAACCAAACTTAATAACTCGCGTAACCCCAGGGACCAATACAATCTGATTAAAATCTGATGTAGTGTACGGGCTTTAATTATTTTGGCTATAAACTTATTTTAATTTTATTTTTTATTACTTTTGTTATTAATACCCTTTTATCTCATTATTTTACTTTGATTCTGATTTTGTGATTTTTTTTAATTCCACCCTACCTACATCTGATCCGACGCCTATGTAACGAGATTTCAACGAGACCCACTATCGACGATTTTAGTCAACGAATCACATACCTCCTTCTATAGCGCTCATGATGACGTCACCGGGTGGCAAACACACTCAAATAAAATGGCGGATTATACCGACGTTAACGACCGTGAATAACACGGCTTTTCGGTAAGTTTATCATTGTCAAATGCAACGAAAGTCATTTTTATGTTAATATTGTGACTCGAATGGTTCGACTTTAGATCGTTATTCCGCATAGTTATTCTGGTACACTGTGTTGATTTTGTTTCCACCGATTCGACCGAACACCAGTGTCTTTTTCCAGTCGCCTGCCCTGGAGACGGGTGATGTTTTGTTGACGATCGGGCCAAAATCGTCTACGGTATTGAAGCTGTAAATACTCATCAAATTGTATCAACATTTTGTAAATTATACAATAACTCTTTATTAAAGTAATTGAGCTGATTTGGACTGGAATAAAATATTTTTTATTTGGAACACATCGCAATTGATCAGGAAATATTTGTTTGCTCCAATTTTCTGCGTCGATGCCGTGGGCCGGTGACCGTTATACAATTTAAAATCAGTTTGCATTGTTTACTATAGCTGTTTACAGTGTTCTAATCATTACGATTTACTTATTTTTTTGCTTCCATTCTAGATAATTATGCTCAGTGATGTAAAATTGAAGCGATGACTGAATGAACGAACCTTGGCTGGCGAAGATGTATCTGGAAGTGTACACATTTGTTGGAAGTGAAAAAAATATTCAATGTAATGACAAAAATTGTAAAATGCTGAGGAATTTCTTTTGCAAATAAAAATATACTAGCAATTTTCTATTAATGGTTTATTCAAGTGGGAAAAATATAATGTACAGAAAGATTGCCCGTATACACTGAAAAGTAAGCAACCGACAGCCTGTATAAAAGGGGGGGCTGTGATTGGCTGTTACTTACGCGAGATTTGAACGGGACTTACATAGGCGTCGGATCAGATGTAGGTAGGGCGGAATTAAAAACAAAATCTCAAAATCAAAGTAAAATAATAAAATAAAAGGGCATCAATAACAAATATAATAAAAATAAAATTAAAATAAGTTTATAGCCAAAATAATTAAAGCCCGTACACTACATCAGATTTTAATCAGATTGGGACCAATACAGGAGTACAAGCAAACAAAATTAACAAGAAAAAGACACCACACAAACAAACAACTGCAACAGCAAATAATGGCAGCTCTGTATCATACTCCAACAAGGGAAGCTGCAACACTGTGATTGTTGAGGATTCATTAATCAAAGATATTGATCTTCAGAAATACTTTATACCTTTGTGAAGGTTCTACGCAGCGATGGAATTGACACAGCAAAATCATACATCAAGTTTCAAGAATCCACAAAACATAATGTTACATATAGGCTCTAATGACATTGATTCGGGACTACCACTCAATGAATGCCATAGAAAATATGAAGAACTTTTAGAAGAAACACGTAACACCTATCCAAATTGCAAAGTGTTTGTATCAAGCATTTTGCCAAGACTTGAAAATGCGTCATTCAAGCACACCCAATCCAGACTAAATGATTTAATTCAAGAGACCTGCAAATCCACCACTGATGTTTATTACATCCATCACAACCTTATAGATAAGGAAAATAACATCAAATCATATCTATTTGAAGACAAAGTCCATGTCAATAAAAAGGGTACAAGCTTTCTGGTATATAACAAAGAGATACACCTATAGAGCAATAGTTTCACATGTAATGGACCAACGACCTAACGCAAGTACTACATCAAGACACATGGATCACCACAAACATACACACGAAAGAGACAATCACTGCTTCAATCAACGTAACAGAATGAACAGTTCTGGCACCAATAAGAAACAATTCATTGAAGATATGTTGACCAACATAATGAACTATATTGGAAGATAACTTTGACAGTATCTGAACTGTTTTAAAACATGTACAGACCTAGGATCAGGTATCCTAAAGCAGTAATTTGTTGCTTTTTTCTATTCTTCTGCACATTATTTATACGAGTATGTCACATTTTGGAGTGAGTAGACATACCCTTAAAGTGCCTGTGAAATGGCTGCTATTTTCACGCCTAAAATTATCATTTGATACATAAATATTATTAATTTTTATGTTTTTAAGCATGAATTAATTTTTTAAGTGAAAAAATGTGTTTTAAACTCAGTCTACGGCAACTTTATTTTTGTGTATTTTAAAACGAGGCTCCTCATTAGCTTCTCATTTGTATACAGAAATTCCCCTTGTGACGTCAGAAGGGGAAGTCGCATGGCAGCTTGCATTGCCGATACGTGTAAATAAGGCAAATTTCTTGTGCAGTTTTCTCGTCTTTGACTAAATTGTCACTTATGTACTTGTTCGTCGAGGAAGAATGGACCATAATGAACACATAGTATCATATTTTGTTGCATGGGGTTGAGTTAGATGCGAAATATGTCCGTTCTGGTGTAGCTGGTCACCGTGATCGTCACCGACACCGGCGCACGTTTGGACACTGTCGCTGGACAAAATAGAATTTGACGTCGGAATTATCTCGTTATTTAGCAGGTTACTAGGCACGTCACTACACTGTTTTATTTCATCGATCGAATTAAAATTAAAATAAAACAGAACATATTTGACATTCTAAACATTAGACTATAGTGATCACTATAAAATAATTAAAAAAACGACAAATCACAGTTACTAAATAAATGACTAAATAAATTGAGTTTTTGTTGAAATAGGTGAACGCGTCGGGTCACGACGAGGGCAAGTGCGTTAAAAGCGGCGTTTAAGTGGATAACAAAAATAATCGAGATCGACACACATACAGATAAATTCAGAGTGGATTCGAGTTAGCGTGATCCATGGCGTGATTGTCATAATTATTTCATAAATTATTACGCAGATCAAGATGCAATCATGGAGGTAAAAAAGAAACAGAGGTGTGAATTCGACATTCAATACCAATCACCAAACAATTCAGAAACGTTTAGTTCCCCCCCCCCCCACTCAGGATCCATAGGGGGCCGCATGCGCGTTCCCGTTTTCTCGGGAAAGGGGGTACTTTTTGACGATCTGTCTCGGGAACATTTTCCCGAGAAAATCGTAGAAAAGGGGGTATTTTTTGCTTGTTTTCCCGAGATTCTCAAAATAGGGGGTGTATTTCAAAACACTTCCCGAGATATACAAAAAGGGGGGTTTAAAAGGAGTTCTAGACTGAAAAGTTCCCTAGATAGGGGGTAAAATTCATCGGAAAAGCCCGTGAAAGGGGGGGTTAAATTTTCTTCTTTTCCCTAGATAGGGGGGGGGGGTCAAAAAAAATGAGGGAGCAAGCATAGGCCCCCCCTAAATATAGCGAGTGGGGGGGGGGGCGTTTAGTCTTCGAAAATGAAAACAATTAGAAGTGTGTAAGGGCTGTGTAATTTCCTGTTTGTCCGACGCTTCGTTTTCGTGTCATTGTCAAAATTATTGCTACCTTTTACTTAACAGGGACTAAATGGTCTCTATAAAACGATAATCACGATCGCAAAAAAAGTCAACTCATTTGAAACACTTGCCGGACGTCTCTCTCTCTCTCTCTCTCTCTCTCTCTCTCTCTCTCTCTCTCTCTCTCTCTTCTAAAATCCGCCTCGGTGATCATGGGCTGGTCCGGAATCTATTTCTTTCAAAAGTGTTGCGCCAGGTTTACGTTAAGTGGCTTTCGTCCACTGATGTCGCACCTTCGGATCGATTAGAAACGTGTGAATACATACACTATGACTATACGTTTCACTGCTACTGCCCACAACACAATAACTAAAAACTCTCTCTCAAAAAAAAAATAAAATAGACAAAAAAAAAAAAAAAACGCCGACCGAAAAATGTATATCGTTTAAAACTATAATGAATGACCAGTGTTATTACGGCTCGGGGGTATGACTTC